AACTAATGAAACAGAATCAACTGCTTGTTGAGGAGCTCCAGAACCACCTTTTTGAACAGACAGAGGTAATGGGTCTGGATCTAGCAGCCCTGAACATGCAACGGGGAAGAGACCATGGCCTTCCAGGTAAGGAGACACATCCTGTGAACAACACTCTTTTTTATTCTGCTGTTTATAGTTCCACGAATGTTCTAAGCTTTTTCCGTACCTATGGGGAGAAACTGTACCTTGATTTGAGGGCAAAGGATGGATGGACAGTCAAGCTCAGAGAAGAAAGTCTCTATTATACAGATTTTTTTGAGAGAGATTTAAGACGGGGACAAAAGTCTTGGAAAGCAGAGATGATACTTGGGATAATGTAATAAAGAGGGGTAGGAACAGTGGTGTATTGCAAAGAGAGAGAATGTGGGGTAGGGAAGGTACAGATGCAAATAACCAAGTTCAACTTTCACATGGGCTAGACAGACCACCTGTGCTTTGTTCTTTGCCTATCAGTGCTTATTTTGTGTCTTCAGACAACCCAGAGCTCTGAGCAGAAGTGGCTTGCACCCACACGTATGATAGCCCTCAGGTGCTGGAGAACAATGGGTTAAACACAACCTAATGTTGCTGTTTCTAGGACTTTGATCCTAGAAATGTTGCCTCCCAAAACTTCAAGGAGTGGTGCGTTCACCCTCAGCACTAGGTGGCTCTAACGAACAGCATGCGATGAATCTGTGGTCACATGCAAAGGCAACCCAAATTGTTACTTCACTGTGTGCGTACAAAAAGAACTTTGAAAAGATGGCATTTGTTGTGTGACTGTCTAGAAAATAATGTCTTCCAGATCCTTTAGGCCATGAGAAGAAACAGATGTTGCTCATGTGTCAAGCGGTCTGTTTAGCTCCCAAGCCTAGGCAGATGGCAGGGAAACAGGTCCTGATCAGCTGCTGCTCCTGCTTTTGCAGGTTACAATGCCTGGAGGCGCTTCTGTGGGCTCTCCCAGCCTCAAAACATAGATGAATTCTCTGAGGTGCTAGGCAATTCCAAACTGGCCAAGAAGTTCATGGAGTTGTATGGGACACCAGACAATATTGACCTCTGGATTGGGGCAGTCGCAGAGCCCTTAATTCCTCAGGGCAGAGTTGGACCCCTCCTGGCCTGTATCATCGGCACCCAGTTCAGGAACCTGCGTGATGGGGACAGGTAGGTAGCTCTGAGAGCAAACATCCTCCATGGCATTTATTATGGGAAAAGATGCTGACATTCCATGCAACATTCAGCCCGTCTTCAACACATCAGTGAGTGCTCCCTGCAAGGCTCACATCTTGATTTTAACCCAGTTGCCAAAGGACTCCTTTTTACAGTCCATTCCTACAGACCCATGCAGCTGGGGAGCACCAGCTCCAGGCCATGGGTGATCTGCAGTAGTCTCTGCCTGAGGTGACATTTGGTCTCAGGGTTACAAAAGGGGAGGATCAGTCCCTGCATCCCAGCAGCCTGGCGATGCTGCGTGGAAGGGGCAGGCTCTTTGCACTGGCAGATGAGTGGCAGAATCCAGACCTGGCCACACTGAAGACACCTCACCTCAGAGGGCTCTGCCTGCTGCCTGCTGAATCGAGGTGGATATGAGCAGAGACTCACCTTGGTCAGATTCCCTTCTTGGCAAGTAACCATCACTAAATGACTTCAAGAAGACTTTAACCTGCTTCTGAAAATATCATTGCAGATTCTGGTGGGAGAAACCAGGAGTTTTCACTCCGCAGCAGTTGCATGCACTGAGAAAAATCTCACTGTCGACGGTGATCTGTGATAATACTCATATCAAAAATATACCCAGGGATGTGTTCAAGGTCAACAGTTATCCTGAGAACTTTGTTGACTGCCATGAGATCGACACGCTTGACCTCTCACCCTGGAAAGATAAGCCTGAGAGTGTCACAAAAGGTATGCAGTTGTCTAATGTCTGCCAAAGATAATAAATGCCCTGCAAGGTCAGACTTTTCCATGCCTAAGAAAATAAAAGAATTAAGGTCATCACAGTGACTCTATCCCCAAAAAGACCTTGGCCGTCATTTCAGCCCCACTCAGACACCACTGGAGGCAGAGGTGCTGTTAGTCTAGTCTCCTTGCAAGCCATCACCCATCATCCCTTACTAACCTGACTCTTCCCCTTCAACTTGATGGGAAATCCCTGAAAATCCAGTCTGTTATGGCCCTTGTGAATGTGTCCTTCTCTAAATACCTTATTCCGGGACAACTGGAGTCTTACTTCACAGGAAGGGTGTCCATGAAGAAATCAATTAGAATTAGCCAAGATGATCCAAATTCTTAGTCTGCTGCTCCAAGCTCCTGCCGTCCCCTTGCCTTCCTTAAAGCTTTAAAGCATTTTAAGGTACAACTGGAGTTGTTTTGATGCTGTATGGCCTAACATACCAGTAGTTTAACACACAAAGATTCTGATACATCCTGAAAGACAATGTCTTCATATAAGAGATGTGGACACTATCTGTGTCCTATTGATATGCTTTTGGCGAGAGTTCTCCCAGTTGAAAGTGATGTAGGGAGAAGAGACTTGCAGAAGACAGGTATGACGTGAGCAGAATGGACTGGATGGGATATTTTCCTTCTGTCAACCCATTTATAGATGAACACAATACCTGGGATCACCTGCTCTGTCATTCTGCAAGGCACAGACCACAAAGCATCTCCATGCAGTTCCTGTACTGAGTTTGATAAACGCTATTTGAGAGTCACTGTTGTTTAAGAAAGAGGTTTGCACTTGATGTAAAGGCTAAATTATGGTGACTTCACCCCATTCTTCAGGAACTGAATCTGCTGATGCTCACCTTCTCCCTAAACAATAAAGGCTTCCTGATTTCTTTTATTACCTTAGTCTTATGGTCACTAGAATTCACTGAGCTGCTCTCTGTGGCTCTTTTATCATCAGGCTGGGAGGAAGCTGAACTGTGTTTGCATAACCCAAAGACAGTGAAATTCCAGGGTGTTAAAAAGCAACTGCTAAAAATTTAATCTCTTCAAGTGTCAAGAAATTGCCCCAAAAGCACTCATCCAAAGGGCTGTCTGATGTTAGGGTCACAGAAGGTAAGTTTGATGAGGCTGGAAGCACCAAGGTGTCTCAGAGGTACAAGAATACAGGTGTGACCTGGCACTCAGTTACCCGTTCACCAATGACTATTGTGAGCTACAGAGACAAATAAAAATGTGGGGAGAATTATTGTGTCCCAGAAAGACCTTCTGCCTCTTAGTAGCTTTTTCTGCTTCATTGACAGTTTCTAATCCTGCTCATCAGACCAGCATTGGAAACTCCTAATGGTGGCACTGAACTGCTCTTGGGAAGCTGCTGCTTGTACGTCCTGCTCAGCTGACCGCTGTCAACTGAACCTCAGCACATGTTTCCCCAGAGAGGAGCTCAAGACTATGTCTACTGTTTTATTTGCTGTACTGTGGTTTTTATATCATTTATTTGTAAAAGCTTCCAGTAATGTAAGTCTTCAGATGGAAGGGTAATGACATTTTAGTGTCTGTTGCCCTAAAAAAATGTTCAGAGGTGTGCAAGACTTGGTTAGGTGCTGGATGATTTATGACTCCCTAAAGGCACAATCAAGACAAATTTTTTACTTCCCATCCTGAATGAGTGTCAAATCTGGAGGCTGGTGTGCTTGCATTTCAAAATCAAACTCCTTATCCCTTGTACCTGCTCAGAAATTAGCAAATTCATGTAATCTTGCTCAAAACTTTCCTTATCTCCTTCTTGGTTTGCACCACAACATAAACTGTTTAGGCTGTTTCTAATTAGCAGTGAGAGTTCAGACTCTGGAGAATGGCCGGTGCATCTTGAAGCCTAGAGACATCTTGTGTTTAAATCCTGTAGTGAACATGTATTAGTTTGGCTGTGCTGGGCAGTAATAAAATACATTGTATGTGCTAATCTACATTTGGCATCAGTTTTGGTATGTCAAGCATGTGGCCAAAACATTCTTTGGCTATGATTCATAGCTAAATGTATCAACATGAAAAAGCAAACTATAAACTGGTGGTATATAAACCATGAGCATTAGGGCTAAAAATTAGTAATCTGTCTGGGATGATCACTCTCAAGATCCTATTAAATCAATAAATACATGTAAAAATCATATTAAGTTTCCCTCTCTCCTTGGCACAACTGGGAGGGAAGGAAGGGACTAGAAGCAAGAAGGCAGCAGCCTACGGTTGAGTGAAATTTGTGGGTGGAGTAGGTGTCTCTGATGAGGACTAATGAAGGGGATGCTTGGTAAAATCTCACGGCTACAGCACCAGCACTTTGCCATGTCGGGGGGTGCTGGCAAGTCATGCCCATGTGAGCCCAGTGCCCCGTGCTCTCCACCCATGCCCTGGGGCCCCAGGTGAGCGATGGAGCTTGGGGACCATGCTACTTCATGAGACCCCAGCGTGTGGGGAACAGGGAAAGGCTGTGGTGGCCCTGGCCAGAGGAAGGCAAGACACAGAAGACAGGACAAAACCAGGCAGTATTCAGAAATCAGGAGCTGCAGTTCCCAGAGTGCATTTGAGTTGAAAAATATATAGGTTGTGTTAAAAATTATGAGGTTATCAGGGCACAGCAAGGATGTTAAGGAACACGTTTCTGCTGTTTGCCTCTGCTTTTGGAGTCCCCAGGCATATTCCCCTCACACATTCAAGATCTGCCCAAATACTGAAAGCAAAATCTTGCGCTACTTAAAAGGAAAGCTAAGAAAAACAAAGAAACACCCAACACCTGCAGACACCTGCAAGGTCTTTAATCCCCCTCACCCAAGGCTGCCCTGGCTTTCCCCTCTCGTGGCAGAGGTACCTCTCAAGGCGTCCCCGCTGAAAGAGGCAGGAGACAGTGCCTTCTCCTGGGTGCGCTTCCAGGGGAATGTGGCGGCCCTCAAACCCCAAGACAGCTACTTCCACAGTCAGGATGGTCACAGGCTTGGGATTAATGCCTCCACCTTGTTGGTTTTAAACAGGAAAAGATGCTTATAATCATGTAGCAATGATCACAGGAAGGGTCCAGCTCTGCCTGGGGTCCAGCTGGAGAGAAGTTCTCGGGGTTACAATTACAAAGCAATGTCCAGCTACCCACTGTGCGTCTGTCCGTGCAAGTGGCATAGTTCTCCGGAAGGAACATGGCAACCATTTCATCACCTCCACTTACAAGCTTTTCTTCCTCTGTAGATGTTTTTACTGTCTCTGGTATGTCAGGGTTGCAGTCCATGGTTGTGTCTGCTGCCAGACCTGCCTTCGTTGCCATGCCCTCCCCCTCAGCTGCTACACACAGAGCTGGAGCTGGAAGATAGGATCACTGATGGGAAGCCCCATTTGTTGTTCCTGATATCTCCTCATAGGCAGTGAGCATGGAGTTACGGACCTGCTCGATGAGCTTGGGAACATCATCTGGGCCCAGGCCAAGCGTCTCCACTTCTGGCAGGATTTGGATGATACTTTTTCCTGAAAGAGTGAGATAGGATGGCCAGAGAAGGAGAAGAAAATATATGAGTGGTATAGATGAACAAGAGAAGATATAACAGAGAGATCAAGTTAGAAATGAAGGGAAATGCCCCCTTTCACCCACCAACAATGGTGGAGCAACCCAGTCATGTCCCAGATGCACACAGCAAAAACCCAAATCAGACTTTTCCCATCCACAGAGACAATAAAAATCATAAATAGAGAAACAGGTGAATCTCTCCCCAAACATATCCAGTGCAATGATTCATACAGAATAAGTTTTCATAGTGGGAAGACCTCAGGGTCTGTCTAAATCATTGCAAAGAGAATATGTCTGTAATACAACACATGCAAACTGACCATGCTCTGACCTATGTATACCAAATTCAGCAGAGTCCCTCCTTCCAGAAACATGCTTTGGGATGAGATGAACTGCACTCAGGATTCCCTGCTTGGCCCAGGTGTGTCATATTCCTCTTGGGAAAAGCCTAAGCAACGGACTGGTGCAAACAGGAAGAATATACTGGGGAACTGTCACCATACTCTTCTGGTCTTGTGCCCAGTGGCCCTTGTTCTGGCTAGTGGAGACAAGACGCTGCCTGCACAGACACGCACCTGAGGAGCTGAGGAGTGTCTGTGTCATTTTCTAACTTTCTTTCATGCCTTTACATGTGTGCTAGGAAATGAGATCCAGAAGTGTTGCTAGCAGAGCCACACAAAGGAGGCAAAACAGAAGCATAGAGAAGAGCTTCACAAAAGCAGAAGGCATGCTCCCTGCCTGCACATCTTACATCCAAAGCTAGGCCTTTGGTATCTCAGGTATCTCAGACTCCGCTTCTCTTGGTCCTACAGAAAAAGCTGAGTGATGATGGAACTGTGTTTAAAATGTAGGTTTGTTGGGTTATAACAGACTTCCAGCAAGCACCAGCCTTGCTCCATGCATGACAACGCGCACACACCAGACACAGGGATGGGCTTTCCAGAAGTTCATCAGTGTGCCCAGAGCCACTGTGGCCATGGTGAGCTGTCCTGACCCAAGGCTCAGTCTGCTCAATGTGCAGAAATCTTGGCCACATGTAACACATCTTCAGTATCAGCCCTGGCAAAACCTGCAGGTGGGAAAAGGGGGAAGGTCCAGGAAAACTTAATTGTGATTCTTTCTCCAGCAGTAAGGTCCTACCTGCTTAACAGCAATTTGGAAAAGGGCTTAGAGGTTAGCTAACCACAAACTCCCAGGCTGAGAATATTATAAAGACAAATGTACATGCAACAGCCAATAGTTTTTCCTAAAAATCTCCTTTGATGCCCCAGACTCGGCTGGACAAGGCACAGCGCACTCTTCTATATTTAGAGTTGGCCTTACTTAAAGCAAAAGGTTCAGCTGCCTCAGAGATCCCTCCCCATTGCGTTATTCTCTGATTTCCCGGAGCAGTGTTGTATCTTGGTTGCTCAGCTGAGTGAGGGTGTGATGGGGAGGAAGCCGGCTAGACGAGCAGGGCTGCTCATGCTCCTATGGACCCCTGCGCGGGGGAACCCTTCCAGTACCAAAAGGCTTTTGTGTGTGGCCAACAGAGACAGGGTAGACCGGGAAAGATTAATAGAAACAAACATTTCTGTTTATCATTTGCACCACTTTCTCTTTCAGGTGTCTGCCTGCAAGGGAATGACTACACCCAGGCACAAACAATGGGAGGAATGAGAATTTCAAACACAAATCCTCCCCTTAGGAAAGAGCAGGGCTGGCTTCCAGGAGGGTGGAAAGTGGCAGAAGCCACCATTTTGGGGTGGGCGTCAGCAAAGGAAGTGGAGGAACAGGATGGGTTACTTCTTCTCTGTTGAAATTTGAAATTTTCTGCATTTTCCTTCTGAAGCCCAAGACCTGTGTCATTTTATGCCCATAAAATTTTATCAGTGACCAGCAAAAATTTTTGCCGCAATAAATGAATGAAACATGGTAACTGGGAGAAGATACTCTCAGGGTGACTTCTGCTGAGACCTTCGTGTTTGCTTTTGTTTCCCAACTCTCCATGCCCCTGCAGATCCCAGGTAGCATGGAGAGGACCTGCCCCAGGACTCTGCTTCTTTTCCAGGTTCCCTCATATGGGTATTGGGCAAGCTATGAGAAGGGGAGAGGCAAAAGTGATGCTTGAAATCTCCATTCCTTCCCCTCCTGAGAAAGCAGAAACTGCTGTTGTCCGGCTGCTGTCTCCACATCACATGTGGTCCTCTGTCCACCCACCTCATGGCTCCCTCCAGGGACTGAGCTCACACTAACATCCAGCCTGTTCTTTGCCCCAGGTCATCCTCACCTGGTGTAAATCTCTTCTCCTTCTGGCTGTAGAAGTTGTAGTAGGAAGAGATCACTACTGGAATAATGGGCACCTGGAGGGAAGGCAGTCTACAGTGAATCTACAAATTTCCCCATTCCTCCCCCAGAATGAAACTGGTATTCTAAGGTGAATCCCGCACCTTGCTGATAATTATCCCAGTCAGTGCATAGTAGACACGCAGGGGATTATTGGGATGTTTAGATCATTTAACTGTATCACCCAATGTCCTCACTGTTGGCTTTTGCATTTTCATCTCTGTATTTAGGACAACAATTTGTGGGTTGCCAAACCAGTATGTACAGAGGCCTGTTCAGCAGAAACTACACCCACTGATAGGTCCAGGGCTCTTGCCAAGTTTCCCCCACTTTTTTCCCAAGTTGAGTCATGACTGTTTCCCAGAAACAGCCCCTTCTTGCCACCTGCAAGCTCCTCATGGGTTGCTGGATGTGCGCTCAATCCCAAAGGAAGCCAGGGACCAGGAGCTACCTAGCCCTGGTTGCTGGTGGATCATGGTAGGCAAACCAGACCCCAAGGGACAGGAGGAAGGTGGCTCTCACCTGGGCTTTCACAGCCAGCTGGAAGGCCCCACGTTTGAAGGGCAACATGGAGCCACCATGATTGCGAGTTCCTTCTGGGAAGATCAAGACATGGATCTGCAGGAGGGAGAAGATATTAAGATGGAGGGACCTCTGGTTACTATTCTAAGTCACTGCACAGGCATACTCCCCTGGACTGGTCTGTCTGCTCCTGACCATGCAGAGACAGCCTCTTCCTCTACTTCAGCTATCATTTACCATCAGTCCTGGCTGACCAGGGAGGTTCCAACTGATTGGAAATCGGCCAATGTGACGCCCATCTATAAGAAGGATTGCAAGGGTGATCTGGGAAATTACAGGCCTGTCAGCTTGACTTCGGTGCCCGGGAAGCTGATGGAGAAGCTCATCCTAAACACCATCATGCAACACATGAGGGACAACCAGATGTGCAGGCCTAGTCAGCATGGGTTTATGAAAGGCAGGTCCTGCTTGACAGACCTGATCTCCTTCTATGACAGAGTGACTTGCTTATTGGATGAGGGAAAGGCTGTGGATGTAATTTACCTTGACTTTAGCAAGGCTTTTGACACCGTTTCCCACAGCATTCTCCTGGCAAAAATGACAGCTTGAGGCTTGGACAATCACACACTTCGCTGGGTAAAAATCTGGCTGGACGACCGGGCCCAGAGAGTTGTGGTGAAAGGAGTTAAATCCAGCTGGCAGCCGGTCACGAGTGGTGTCCCCCAGGGCTCGATGTTGGGGCCACTCCTGTTTAACATCTTTATTGATGATCTGGACGAGGGGATCGAGGGCACCCTCAGTCAGTTTGCAG